TCCTCCTCCTCCTCCTCCTCCTCCTCCTCCTCCTCCTCCTCCTCTTCTTCTTCTTCTTCTTCTTCTTCTTCTTCTTCTTCTTCTTCTCCTTCTTCTTCTTCTGGATAAGAGAGAATTGGGAAAGGATACAGGGGGATACTGAGCTCTTTGAGAAACAAAGAACACTTTTCTCCCAAAACAATGCATAGACAAAATTGTTCTGCAGACAAATTTAGAAATCTTGTAACTTCCTAATGTCTCCTCCAGATGTGGTCTGAGTCTATGTTCAGTATAAGATTTTTATCAATGGCTTTAAGACTTTTTTTTTTACTGCAACCCAGAATGATAAGCTCATTTCACACTGTGGCCTAGAACACACACACACACACACACACACACACACACACACACACACACGGAAAGCAGTGATGCACTGAACATCACATAGCCTGGCTAGAAGTATTTCACGGATATTTTCTCTGTTTGTCTTTCATTTAAAAAGATGTGGACTAGGTTTTCTCTTTGCTTACTAAATTGATCTCAGGAGCAGTTTGTGATGCCTGGCTGGTGTTGCTCAGTGGTTGAGTATCAACCTCCTGAACCAAGAGGTCCCCAGTTGGATTCCCAGTCAGGACACATGCCTGGTTTGTGGGCTCTATCCCAATAGGGGGATGCAGGAGGCACTGATGGATGATTCTCTCCGATTGATGTTTCTATCTCTCTATCTCTCTCCCTCTCTCTCTTAAAAAAATCAATAAAAAACATATTTTAAAAATAATGTGTGTTTTTTCTTTCTTAGAGTGTCTTTTGGAGCAAATCAAATCAGCTAGCTCACCTGTACACCAGGGTGCAGCAGGATATGTTCACACTGGAGGACACACTGATGGGCTACATTGCTGACGGCCTCAACTGGTGTGGAGATGCAGGCTCCTCTGGTGAGGATGGGGGCCATTGGGATCATCCAGGGACGGCAGGGTGAAGGAGCCCTGAGTTCTTCTGGGGGCCCTGAAAGGTCAGTGTGGAGGATGGGCCCCAGGTACCCACCCTGATGCCATCTAACCCCCAATGACAACTCAGCCTGATGTAAAGTAGTGTCTTTTTAAAAAAACATTTTTAAATTGATTTCAGAGAGAAAGAGAGAGAGAGAGAAGGAGAGAGAAAGAGAGAAACATCAATGATGAGAGAGAATCATTGATTGCCTGCTTCCTGCACACCCCCAACTGGGGACCACAATTATAACCTGGGAATGTGCCCTGACCGGGAATTGAACTGTGACCTCCTGGTTCATAGGTCGATGCTCAACCACTGAGTCTCCAAGGCTGGGCTGAAATAGTGTTCTTTAGACCAACTCACGTGGTCATTCTTTCTTTTCTACCCCCATCACACTCCCTGAGTCCAGCGCTTTAACACAGTTTTTGCTGGGACTGTTCTAACAGCCTCACTGCCCACTCCTCAGTCAGCCTCCACGATCAGCCTCCACGGCTACCAAGGATTCTTTCCGTCTCTACTCTACAGCCTAAATAGCGATCTTTTGCCTCTGGGATAAGGCCCAGATTCCTCAGCATGGCCTGCCTCTGTCTTTCAGATATCTCATCTTCCAGATCCCCGTCCCCATCCCTCCTGCTCTGGTGGTGCGAGCCTAACCCACCAGGCGGTTTCACACCCCCGGGCCTTTGCACAAACTCTCTGCATGGAGCACCTTCTTCTCTCTCATCTGTCTGAGGACTCTTACTCATCCTTCAAAATCAAGTTCAGCATCAACCTTTCCTAATGGTGCTGCACACCACCCCCAACCCCAGTGGCTCTTTCTCTGATTTATTCGATTGTGCTGGATCCAGGGGTCTCTGGCGACAGGGCTTCTGTCTAATTCATCTCTATCCCCAGGACTTAATGCTCCAGTGCTTGTGCTGGAGAATGAACAGGTAAAGAAAATGTGGCATGTGTGTGTGTGTGTGTGTGTGTGTGTGTGTGTGTGTGTGTGTATATATATATATATAGTGAAACTTTATTCAACCTTAGAATAAAGTCATTTTCAACAGCATGGATGAGTCTGGAGGGCATTCTGCTACATGAAATAAGCCAGTCAGAGAAAGTCAAATACTGCATGGTGTTGTTTATATGTGGAATTAAAAAAAATTGAATTCATAAAAACAGAATAGAAAAGTGGTTGCCAGGGGCAGGGGGTGGGGAAATATGGACAGGCCGGTAAAATGGTGCAAACTTCCACTTATGAGATGAGGAAGATCCAAGACCTAGTGTACAGCATGGTGGTGATTGTGGATAATACTGTAGAAGCATAGCTGAAATTTTCTGAGAGAAGAACCTACCTGTTCTCTCACAGAGATACTCGCATAGATAAATGTGTGAGCTGATGGATGTGTTAGTTAACTCCAAGTGGGGAAATCTTTTCACAATGTACATATGTATATCAAACCATCGCATTGTACACTTTAAAATCTTACTATCATACTTGTCAATTATATGTCAAAAATAACTAGAAGATGTTGTGTACGAAGGCAGATATCCTCGGGAAAAGTGACATAGAAACTGTGTTCATGCTCTGAGTCTATTGTATCTCATAGAGGCTTGAGCCTGTCTTTGTTTTAAAAAATATGTTTTTATTGATTTTTAGAGAGATAGATAGAAACATTGTTGAGAGAGAATCATCAATTGGCTGCCTTCTGCACACCTCCTACTGGGCATTGAGCCCACAATCCAGGCATGTGCCCTGTCCAGGAATTGAACAAGTGACCTCTTAGTTCATGGGTCGATGCTCAACCACTGAGCCACACTGGCTGGGTAGCCTGAGCCTGCCTCGATGGTGAGAGTGTAGAAAGACTCTGAGGCCATCTGACCCTAAGGTGTGGGTCTAGGGAGGAGGAGAGGAAAGCTGTGGGCAGGAGAGCGTTGGCAGGAAGCAGAGGAGTGGTTGGGGAGAACGGCTGAGGCCCAGCTTTGTGTCCGATTCCTCCTGCACTCTGGGATCATGTTGGGGGCTTGTCTCTGTCAGATGAGCTTTCTCAATTTCCCAGAACGATGACTCAAAGCTGGTCACCGTGTTCCTGTCTGGGGTTTGGAGGGTAAGGTAAGGACTTGGATGGGAGTCAGGGGCACTTAGTTAAATTGGGTCGAGACGTGTCCATTCTCCATCCTCCATCTTGGCAGCAATGCCATTGGATAATGGCTCTTCTTTGACTGAACAGCCAGGGAAGAACGGAGCTTAATTACACCTGTGACTTTCCACTTTAATTATTGTCTACAAACTATGTCTTTTAGAAATGAACTATCAGTCCTGCCCGCACTGGGGGAAAGACTGCATAAACAACCCCAAGTCTGTGTTCTGGGACACGGTGTCCAAAAGGGTGAGTACCAGGCGTGAACTTGGAGAATTTGGGAGACCACGGAATGGAGAGGCCATCTAGCCAGTGGTTCATTTGGATTCTCTTTGGATCACACATCCTTTTAGGAACAGAAGTTTGGGATTCTTTCCTGAGAAAAATGTCCCTGAGTATATTCTAGAAGATTTTTCACACACAATTTTAGGATATGCATGGGGAGCGGGGGGCCCATGGGCTCCAGTAGGAGAATCCCTGGTCTTACCCATTTGTTCTTTGGCTTTGGCTGCCAGGAATCTCCTGCTTGGTTTAATCCTCTGGCCCAGGTCTTGGCCAATCCTAGATTCCTGGACCAGTCTTAGCAATTAGCACCTTCAGAACTTCCTGTGTGCCAGGCACAGTCCTAGGCTTCACATGGATTACAACCTTTCATCCTCACAGGTACCCTCTGAAGTAGGTACCATGAGTATCACACCATTTTACAGATGAGCAAATAGTGCTGCGGGCAAGAAAGCAATCTGCTACATGTCCACAGGGAGTGGCAGGTCTGTGAGTTAATCGCAAATTGTCTAACTCCAGATCCAGAATCCGGCTGGGAAATACTCACCGTCTTCCCTGCCACTTTCTCCCTATTTCTGACTTCACCCTAAGCTACCTTTGTGGCTATTTCTTTTTCTTATAAGTCACTCCTTTGCATGCAAGCAGACTAGGAAAAAATGGGAAAGAAAAGAAGGAAGAAGTGAGGGGAAGAAAAAGAGGGAGAAAGTACAACTACACTACCTACAATTCTCCAAAATTAAATTCAGACACCGAGGAGCTGGGGCAGTGGAAACTCACACTTGTTAATTGCATATTTATGACAAGTCCTGAGCCAGGTGCCTTGCCTATGTCATCCCATTTAGTCCCCACAGTAGGTGCTGAGGGAAGGTTACAGGTGAGGAAATGGAGACTCAGAGGTTAGTGTCTCACCCAAGGCCAATGGGCTAGTAAGGAGATTCAGGTAAACCCTGGTAGAGACAAGGAGATAACCTGGGATTTGAAGTCAGGGGGCCACGTCAATGTGCACAGATCCTTTAACCATCTGTTTGACCTTCAGATTCCTCATTTGTGAAATGGAGATAAAACTGATGCCTACCCCATAGGGTTACTGCAATGTTTAAACAAGATGCTACTATCCTTCTCACTAAGAATGCATTCCTTTAATGCATATTTGTTGAGTACCTACTGTGTGCTGTGACAAACCAGAGGCACTGTGTAGGTTTTGTTGTTTTTCTTGGGGGGGGGGAGTTCCTTGCTTTTCCTGAGAAAAGTGTCTATTTTATCATTCTATGACATGTTTTGGGGCAGTGCTGCTGCTAAAAACTTTTAAAGTCAAGTCACATGTTGTATGTGGCAAACGCCTGCTTGTGTTCCCCATAGTGTCCTTGGAGCTAGGAGCAGAGTGGTGAAGGGGATCGAGGTGCACCCTACCATTGTGAGCTACCCTGGGACTGCGCCTTTATCTTGGCCAAATGCTTGCTCACAGATGTAGGTACATAGCCTTCTTTTATTAGAGTAGATCCTTTCTTTTTCTGACAAAAGAGGCAGTGCTTCTTGGGTTTGAATCCCCATTCCACTTTCTCGCTTCCAAGTAACCTTAGGGTAAATGGACTCAACGCTTCCTTCCCAGGGCTCTGAGGATTGCATAGCATTGCAGGTCAGTGTTTGGCATCAACCCTGTGAGCACTCAGTCGAGTTAGCACTTGTGATTGACATTAATTGGGCCTCTGTCTTCTGCTCATCACCCCCAACAGAAAGATGGAAGCCACAGTGGGTTTTCACAGTTCCATTTCAAATTGCATAGTGGTATTTTATTACCAGTAGATGAAAGGCCAGATTTCTTGGCAAAGCCTTCCATAAAGGAACTTATCTATCCAACTTCAAAATCCACTGAAGTTGCCCCCAAAACACCACTGTTCTCCCAAGTCCACCGGCCTTTCTGTTCGCAGCTGCCTCAGTCTTTGCCAGGGGAAACCCTATTCATCCTTCAGCTTTTGTCACCCTATGTTATGTTTTTTTGTTTTTGTTTTTTATATTTCTTTCCTAATCTCCATCACAGTGTTTGGACTTTTTAAAAAAATTTTATCTTTATTGTTGAAAGTATTACAGATGTCTCTCTCCCCCACACCCCCCACACCCCATTGACTCCTTCCACCCCACTCCTACATGTTTGGACTTCTCCCTTCCTCTTTCCCCCCCCTACATATTTCCACAGTGCTCCAAGGCTTCCGGGCTGAGCAGCAAGCAGACAGCCAGGCTCGCAGCTCTCAAAGAGCTCTCAGTAGCAGTGGCCAAGCCTACAGGAAGCTCATCCTCACCACGAGCCAGTCCCAGGGGATGGGCTTCCTGGAGGAAACACACAGATTGCTTGTTTTGTTCATATTATTTCCTCCAGTTCCTAGCAAGGAGTCCAGCTGAATGTTGCATGAGGAAACAAAACTCTTTGCTTAATAATATTCATTCATTCATTCATTCATTCATTCATACATTCCGCATTTCTCTTTGTGCCTGTGCGGGCCTCAGTGTCGCCTTTCTTGGTGTCCCCATTCCCCTTACCCCTGGATCGGCCACCCAGCTCCCTAAGTGAAATGCACAATGTCTACAGTTTATGGCACCAGGAAAGCACTTTTCTCTTCCTCCTCCAGCAATGTTCCTCTTACTCAGCTGAACCTCTGAGCCACCTACATATTTAGTAACAATGGTGTTGAACTTCATGTGCAAACACAGATGAGAGCAACTGCTTCCAGAACTCTTCCGTGTAGCATAAGCCTCCAGTCATTGGGCTGAAAGCACATAGACCTGGGAATGCTGAGCTGGAGCCATCCAGGGTACCTTCCCCCCCTTAACCACCAGCGCTGAGAACTGTTTTGGGTGCAACTGCTGGGGCTTGCTGATTACGTTTACATGCTGAGGAATTGTGGGTTTTCTTTTTCTCTTTAAGTTTGCAGAAAATGCCTGTGGTGTGGTGCAGGTGGTGCTCAATGGGTCCATCAGTAACACCTTTGATAAAAACAGGTATTGGGGGAGGAGGGTGATGGGAGCTGGAAGAGGGTGTAGGGAGGATAAATGGTGATGGGGGAAAAAGCAGGTACTTATTTCTTTGCATTCTATTTGCAAGGGTTAGCACAGCCTCCTATTAGATAGTTTGTCTATAGGAAAATATACTTTTCCAGTTTAAGGTTAGTCCTGAAGTTTTGGGCCAAAAAAAAGGTAAAATTTTTATATTCTATGGAGAGATTTTTCTTTCTAAGTAAAAATTTTTTTGTCCTTGAGCTGTGTCCAGCTCCTCCTCTTGGCTTTTTGAAGTCTGATGGAATGTTCTCAGCTCTCTCCTCCATTACACTCCATGCTGCCCATTTCCTGCCTTTGTTCACGCTGTTCCCCCACCTGACCTGCCCCCTTGGTCCTTCTGCCTATTTGAATCCTCACCAGCCACGAAGATCTGCCCTTACCCCTGTTTCCTCCATGAACACGTCCAGTACCAGTCCAGCACCACAACTATTGGGAACATCAGGAGCCGTGCTGTGCTCTGGCCCTTCACTATCTCCTTGTCGTCAGCACCTCAGTTAAAGGCGGGACTCCAAGAGGCCATCACGTATTACTTAGGGGACTTTATGCAGGCACTTAACCTCTTTGAGCCCCTGTAGTGTGTACCTGCAGAGGTGGTGGTGCTAGGAAGATGAGCGGAGACAGTGTGTGAAAAATGATGAGCTCTGTGCTGACAGAGAGAAGGTGCACAATGAGTATCAGCTATTATTCTCTCATTTAATCCACACCATTGACACATCAATACCTTCCTCCTCTGCTGCCTCCCATTCTTACAGTTTTCACCACTTGGATTACCTTTTCAGTCTTCGTTCTCCAATCTTTCCTGGGATAAGGCTGGATTGAGAGGAGGGACCACTCTAGGAGCCCCAAATTAAGTTCCCTTCTCTCCTGTTTTAATATTTAATTCTATGAAGAAGATTTGTCCTTTTGTCTTCTGCTTTTGACCTCAACCTTGTGGGCTTTTGGATGAAAGTGCTAACATTCCAGAATTTTATAATCTGGTATGAGCGACCTAAGTACTTGCAATGGGTGTGGCAGGTGTCAGAGGCTAATGGGGAGGGGTTTAGAAGTGGTGTTAGAGCAGGACATCAGGGTCTTTCTTTCTTTCTTTTAATGTATTTTGATTTATTTCAGAGAGGAAGGGAGAGGGAGAAGAGAGATAGAAACATCAATGATGAGAGAGAATCATTGATCAGTTGCCTTTTGCATGCAACCTGGGCATGTGCCCTTGACTGGAATCAAATACAGGACCCTTCAGTCTGCAGGCCAACACTCTATTCTCTAAGCCAAACCAGCTAGGGTGCCAGTGTCTTTCAAAGCTGTGCTCCAACTTACCTGAGCATATGGATTGCCTGGGGATTGCCCAGCTGCAGATTCTGGTCCAGCAAGGGGTGGTGGACTGAGATTCTGCCATTTTAACTAGCTCCCAGGTGATGTCATTGTGTTGGTTTAAGGTCCAGTCTTGGGAAAGCAAGTACTTAAAGAATCAACATCAATGTCCAGATAAGGAATCTCATTTTGATAATCTTATCCACTGGGGGTCATGCTGAAAGAGTAAAGGTGGCATCAGTCCCAGAGGGTGGGTTCTAACCAATGGCACCCTACCTGCTGGCTTTTCACAGGGGCTAGGGGTGCCTGAAGTATTCAGTTTGGGGTCAACAATGTTCTTTGTCTCTTCTATCTTAGCACTTTTGGACGTGTGGAAATCCATAATTTGCATCCAGAGAAAGTTTCTAGACTACAAGCCTGGGTGATGCATGACATTGGAGGAGTTCGCAGGTATATGTTACTACTCTGTACCCATATAGTCTCAGGTTTACTTTAGGAATCGATCAGCAAAACAATCCACAGTCTCAAGAATGCATTGAGGAAAGGCTGGCTCAGGAAATGAATGGGGCCTTATTCTACATTCAGCCCATCCCAACAACCTCTCAATTTTATCTCCATAATAGGTTTCTACCTAGTTTGCACCTTAGGCTCCCCTGCTGACCTGTGAACTCTCAGAGTTGACCTCTGCTTCACCTCTTTATCCCAGAGCTTTGTGCAAGGCCTGCTACCTAGAAGAAAATGACTCAGGAGATGTTTGCAAGATCTTGTTATTTTAACATTTTCTTCTTTCTTTCCCAGTCACTCATGCTCGAGTCCTCTCATAAATGATTTGAAATTTATATTAAGCCAGAGGAAGATTTCATTTACCTGCCAGGATGACTACAGGTAATTGATTTGTTCTTGAAGAAGAAATAGCCATCTTGCCATCTATAGGCATCTTCCCTCGGGCCTTGATGGCAATCTGGGATGGTGACCGATGGTGATCTCTTCCTTCCTCTCTCCATCCCCTGCTTAGCCCTTAGGTGTCCCCAGCTAGTGACCTTCTGAAGAAAACGGGTTGCTGCTTTTGCTGTTTCTTGATCATCAGCTGACATTCATAGCCCTTGTCTGTGCCATGCCAGAGCCAAACATTCATTTTCACCTCCACGTATCATCATCGAACATCCCTTCTCAGTATCTATTTTTATGACTTAACAAGTGAAATGAAGCTAAACTGGCCCCACTTTAAGTCACTCACTCCTCAACATGAGCTTTCTCCATGTTGTCGCCGGAGGAGAGGAACTTGTATGGATGCTAAGTGATCAACTCATACCTTTGTTGCTAACAAAGGGGCTTCTTTCCTTGATGAATTGAGTGGTAGATGTATTGCTCTGCCTCTAGATCTCTTTTTTTGCTCTCTTGTCACAGGCCTATCAAGTTTCTTCAGTGTGTGAAAAATCCTGACCATTCGTCTTGCAGTTCTATAATATGAGCCATCGGCACGGTGCTTTACAATCTTTGAGCCCTTGTGGTGTACATGGCTGTGTGTGACTCAGGAGACACGCTGATGGAAAGCTGAGGATTTGGAGGATCTTCTGTCATCATGTCATACCAGAGATGGAAGCATTTCCCCCCAAAGTCTTAAAATAGCTTGTTATTGGCATAGTTTTTATTTTGATCTTTTAACATTCAAGAAAAGATTAATTATTATATAAAATAAAAATGAAATTTTTATGTTATTTTAATTTTCATATGATGCTTTTATGTTGTTTATATGTTGGACAGAATACGACTCTGTCTGGAAATAACATTTCCCAAAGACTATCAGGAGCTTCCAGGTTCTTCAGGAGGGCAATAACAGTTTGGAAGCCTCTTAGTCAAGAAGAACACTCAAAATTACCCCACAGACTGGTCAGGCACAGAAGTCGTTCTTGTCCTGAGGACACTCGGCTGTCACTTTGCCACTGTGAGATGTGGCCACTGCTGCTTCCGGGAATAGCAGTAACCAGAGTAGATGGTTCATGGTGATGGGACATGAAGTATGGCCCCTACCTCAGACTCATCAGCCTCAGGTCCATGGCTGCACAGTTCCACCTGCCACAAAGGACCTGGAACATGGAAAGTGCTTAGAACAGAGTTCAGAGCTCAGTTTTTCTACCTGTGAAATGGAGGTGATGACAGTACTGACCTCTGGATTGTCTTGAGCATTTGAGCAAGATGCTAGAAGTATAAATCTCAGAATTGCACTTGATATTAGGAAGAGCTCTGTTAAAGTTAGTTTTTTAATTTAAAAAAATGTTGGAACCTGTTTTTATTCCTGAGAAAATTCCTTGACTAGCCTACTTGTTTAGAAGCGGAGGCCCTCGGAGTAATGGAGATGGGAAGGTTTTGCCCTCTTGACAATCAGCAGGGTCAGACACACTCTCACAAAAGGCTTGAATAGTCTTGGATGGTTAGAACTTGCCCACCTGTGAGGACTGAATAAGGTATCCTCCTGAAATCTTTAACTAAGAGCTGGCTCCCATCTCAAGATTAACATTGACAATGGTATTAAGAGGTGATGCCCCTCACCCCACCCCTTGCCACCAAATCTAAGGATTTAATGTTTGTAATTGTCATTCTGTAGCCACCATGAGTTCAACAACTTCCCCTGGCATTGCCGATCTAAGCCCTGCTTGATGACCAGGGCCCACCACTCTGGTGACAGTAAAGGTGTGCATATCCCTTAGTAGAATGAAATCAGAAGACACAATGTGTCGGAAGTACCACTTCACTCCAGTGTAATCAGTGCACTGAAAGATCAGTGGGGAAGGGTGAGACTGAGAAGGAATGGGGTAGCTAACCCAAGTCTTCGATACAAGAACAAATCTCCCTTTGTGAATACTACTTAATAATCAGTTCAGTCTCCACAGAGTTGCCTTCCAGAGAATTTCCCTGAAGTGGCAGAATAATCAGATCCAAGTTGACTGCTGGAAGAAGAGAGGCCCCTTTGGAGCCACTAAGTCTCAGATCACTCTTGATTGCTCAGCATTAATGACTTTGGCCCATAGAACTCAGAGCTTCTCCAAGCACAGATTGCTTGGACCAGTGAGGCAGGAGGAAGTGGTCATGGGTGTCCTTCCTGCTTTCAGCTTCTAGAACATGGGAGGAGTCATTGGGTCAGTGCTGTCAGACTGGATTGCTTTAAAAATGTGTTGTTTTTGCCCTGACTGGTTTGGCTCAGTGGATAGAGCGTCGGCCTGCAGACTGAAGGGTCCCGGGTTCGATTCTGGTCAGGGGCATGTACCTTGGTTGCGGACACATCCCCAGTGGGGAGTGTACAGGAAGCAGCTGGATTGATATTTCTCTCTCATCAATGTTTCTAGCTCTCTATCCCTCTCCCTTTCTCTCTGTAAAAAATCAATAAAATATATTAAAAAAATAAAAATAAAAATGTGTTGTTTTTTAAGTGTCATCCATGACCATTAACATGTCAAATACTTTCTTGTTAAATTAATAGACATTTATGTAATAATTTATTACAGAATCATGAAAGAATTATAGAACGTTATTGCTACAGAGCAGTAACTCAACCTCTTCTCTTGGCAAGTGAAGAAGCGGAATCTCTCTCCTGGGAGTCCTTAGAGGGTGGGTGCTGAGTGGTTGGCAGTAGCTTAAGAGTCAAGATTTTCCTCACTCGATGTCACTCTTTCACATCACAAAGCTTAAGACCTCACAAACAGGAGAGGTGGAGATGACTGGTTCTTGCTTGGTATTTATTATTTTCTTGTTCTTCTTGTTAAATAAACAGTAATCATCAACTCCCCATTGTAAACTAGAAACCTGGTTTCCAGCCCACAGAATACATTCTCAGCTCTATAGTACGGACTGGCCAATGGGATGTGAGTATGCATGATTCATACAATTGCTTGGTTATTTTTAAAGACAGAGACACTACCCTGATTTTCCCCTTTCCCTTCCCTTTGCTGAACAATAATGCAACTCCAGTAGCAGCCTGAGACCTCAAGATGAAGCCAGAGCTTGTGGATGGCAAATCTGACTGGTCATAGAGAAGACTTCTTCGTCCCTTCCCCATCCTGAGTCACGGTCACCCAGACTTGACCTGTTTTCTTCATTACTTTATCCTTCACCCCAGGCATGTGTTTCCATGACACCCTGTTTTATTCTTGCCTCTGCATCTCAGCTTCCTCCTCTGGACTTGGCTTTGCTGGCCTCTTCAGCCTCACTATAAAATGACTTACCGATTATTCATTCAATCACCAATATTAGTTGGTCGTTTTCCTGGATAAAGTCTGATCTTTGAATTGAAGAGAAAGGTCAATGTGTAGTTTTAACAACATGTGATGGAAATACATTTTATCTGAATAAATTGTGTATGGGAATAAAAAGGGTTGGTAGAATTAGGTGGAAATTGCATAGATTATTATAAAGTGTTTGAAATGTAAGTTAACATGATGTTTCCTTTTAATTTAACTCACGTAAGACATTAAATTCATGAGATGTCACAACATTGTGTACACACCTGTATGTTTTGAATCAGAAATGTGAACTTGAATATGAAACTTCAGAACCAAGTAAAGTGTGTTTATCTATATCTTTTATATTCAGCAGCTTTGGGACTTGGGTGCTTTAAGAGTCTTTGAGGGCATAAAATTTAAGGAGACATGCATATTCTGATGCTTAGTCAAGGGAAATTTTCCCATCCAGAAGTTATGTGAGCTTCAGAATCCTCACCTGTAAAGAGAAGACAGTACCTACCCACATACCTGCCAACCTGGCAGCTATAACACTTCCATGCCAGAACACAGTGTAGGCACTAAAAACAAAGTCCTATGGGTCAATTCAAGCTTCCAAAGGTCATGTTCACCTGGATTTGAAGTTCTAAAAGTTGAAGACTTACTTATGGAAGGAGATTGTATAACACCCTGCTTGAAGGGAAGAAAGAGAGAGAAGTGCCGAGTCATGCTCTGTAGAGGTCGTGGTGGAGGTAGGCCCAGATGTCCAGGCAGAAAGAGGAAGCTGTGTGGAAGTGGGGGTAGAAAATGCTGTGTACTCTAGAATTAGGTTCAAATCGCAGCTCTGGCATATGCTGAAGTTTTCAGGGACTATAGGCAAGTCATTTCCTGTCTAGTGCTCAGAGAACACACGTGTAAAATGGGGTTGGTAATGACAGCTACATCCTAGAGATGTTGGGGTACTAAATGGCCTGGTGTACTTACTGTGTTCAGTGCAGGGACTAGTGTGGGGTGAGAAGGCATTAAATAGTCCTTATTATTAGGGAAGGTTAGAAAAACATTACCTAGGATATAAAGTGTGACGGTGGTCTCTAGTAGCTTGTTTTTCATGTTATCCAAGGTTCTTAGTCACATGGAGCATATTCCTAAATGACAAAAAAGATAGGATTCATGACAAAACATTCTACCTGAGTCCTACAGTGAGCAAGTCACATCACCTTTCTGAGCCTCAGTTTTCTTTTACATAAAATGGGAATGACATTTTACTTACCTCACTGAGAGGATCTGAGATCCAATGAGAAAATGCAGGGGGAAAATGTTAGGACAAGCATGGGACAAAGGTGAATTATTGATGTGGTGGTGATGATGATGACAATGACATGAGTTTTTTCAATTATCATCTTGTAATTTGGGGCAAAAATAGAATTTCATAAACCTGGCTCTACTTAAAATGCCCTTATAAAAACTGAGTATGTAAAGGAAACCTATAGCAAATATTCAAGGTCAGTAAAATACCAGAATATTACCTAGCAAAGAATAGCCAGTGTGTAAACAAATATAAGAACTGCCAGCAGAGGGAGGCAGATACTGACACAGGTACAGTAGCCCATTCTTCTCATCCCCAGAGTGGATTTGACAATACAGACGGTGTAGCATCTCTAGGCTGTTGTTTAGCAAAGGGAAGGAAAATTGGGGCAGTGTCTCTGTCTTTAAGAATAACAGGAAATTGCATGAATCATGCACACTCAGACCCCACTGTAGAGCTGAGAATGTATTCTGTGGACAGGAAACCAGGTTTCTAGTTTAAAATGGGAGTTGATGAATTCTGTTTATTTAACAAGAGGAACAAGAAAATAATAAATACTAAGCAAGAGTCAGTCACCTCCACTACTCCTCTTCTATGAATCCCTCCTTGACCACCCCATATATGTTGTACCCCTCCATTCTTCTTACAGCCTTCTGCCCCTTCTCTGCATTAATTTTCTCCTATTAATTAATTTAAAACTTTCATGATACTTCCTGTGTGCTAGATATGATCCTGAGTATTTTAAAAATATCTTGCTTACTTCTTGAAAAAATCCATATGAGATAGGCATTATTTTTATTTGCATTTCATAGAAGAGGGACAGAAAAGTGTGTTGCTTGACCAATGTTCCAGAGTGAATGTTGATGGAGTCTGGCTGTATAAACCCCACTCCTCAGTCTACTCAGCTACCTCTCATTGCACTTAGCGCAGTGGAACACAGAATTTCAGTAT